AAACAAATCGGGTTTTGATACCATTCTTTAGCACCGCTTGATAGCTACTAATCGTGAAAGAAAGTTCCGCATAATCGAGAAAAATCATTAAAAATAACTCAATTTTTGAAACGGCCGATCAACGAAATTTTTCGATTCATTTATAGGCCCGTACGCTAAAACGACCAACCATTCATTTATTTCATTTCATTGCTAAGCCTAGTGACGTAGAAGGGCCGATGATTGAAAAATTTCAAACCAAAGCTAGGCCCTACTGCTTGAGGCAGGGCCGATGATTTGTTTTGAATTTATTTGACGTTGCGAAAAGGCTTAGCAAAGGGCCTACCATTTCTGATGACAAGCACAACGGCTTAACAAAAAGGGCCTATCCATTGAAAGATTCACAAAAAAGGCTTATTAATTTATGAAATTATATTGCTATCGATTTTCATATATTTTTGAAAGCTTTACGCATATTTTGGATGTTGTATACTGAGATACAGTTACTATTGTTATTGTGAACAATATAAATGCCTTAAATACTTCAATATTCTTAAATATGAATTGAATAGAGGCGGCCAAAAATTAAAATTCATTTTCTGGTTTGTTTACGTTTTGGACATAGGCCCATTTCAAATGTTACTCTAGATTTGGCGTAGAACTGCCCGTAGCCAACGTAGTTATCACGCTTTGGTTCTGGTAATCCAAATTCATTGCTGTTGCTATGGAAATAACCAACAAACCTCTTTCGGCTAGTTTGGAGAAAAAAATTAAGAAGCATGTAAATGCGAAAAACTCGGCAAAATTCGGTAAATATATCTGTCTATCAACAACATCAATTTCATGTGTGTTTAAAATCTCACTAATTTCATTAATTTTTAAATGATTTTTGCAACTGTAGCAAATATTTTTGCAAGGTTAGATCACACTTTCTTTAATTGACTTGCTTGAATGTTTACGAATGATGCATAAAATAAACAAATATTGATGAATATGTACGTATGCAATTCATCAATTCATATGTCAATTTGTTAGCGAAGACAGTGAGAATGTCGTACAGTATGAAGCTAGAAAAATGGTTACTTCGCAATATGACGCTGAAGTAGTGTCAGCAATCGTAATCATAATATTCATGTGGCAGGTCTCGTGCAACTGTCATTGATGTTACATCATACAAAAATGTACTGAATGAAAATAATACTTTAGCACATCAAAAAGGCGGGGTACTCAATTATAAAGTCCTCTAAGTAAAAGTATGGACTGTCAAAAGTTGTTCCAATCAAACCATCAAAATGCACTACTTTGTTCGATTGGAACAGCTTTTTTCAGTTTTGTGGTGACAGTCGTCCATACTTTTACTAGAGTGCTTTACTCAATTCAATGTAAGCAGACATATATGCAATACAAAAAATAAACAGACGTTTGAATACGCCTCTAATTTCTGATGATGATTCCATTGGTTGACAACTAAAAAAAAAATGGTACAACTCGATTTGTTTTGTAACGAGACGGACTGATGTCATCATCTCAATAGAGCTAATTCACAGGTAAACAGCATTAACCGTTAGTTATGTCTCAATGTGCAAACTATGTATCTGTAATAAATTTGGCATCGCTGAGTCATAATGTACAATCAAGCATCTAACAGTTCATAGTTATTGACGATTAATGTTATAGGATAGCTACTCATTTCCATAATTGTTCATTTAGGAAGACCTCATCAATCTTTAAAGTTCATTGGTGTCGTTGAAGGACAGTTCGTTTGTCAACAACTCTTATCGGTATTAGGGGTAGGGGTTGATAAAATTGGCTCTAAAAATCTGAAACATTCGCTCCACAATGCTTAAACGGTTTCAAATTTGGTCCTGATTAGCTACTCAAAACTCATTTAGTTAAAAACTGAATGTACACAAACAATTATATAAGAAATGCAAATTTTTTGTTCATATCTTTCTAACAATTGACTACATTTATGTACAACATTTTTTGATGACTTTGTATTTATTTTTCTCAGCTACATCTTTACTAAAGACCACAAAATTTATTAATGGTTCAAGACGATGCTGTCTTGTGATTATGCTAAATCAACTGCTGGTGTTTCTGGCGCGTGAAATAGCTGAAATAAAGCACTCAAATCATGGCCAATTTCGAATCGCGATACCACTGTTGAGCATTTTTACTGTACTGACAACTCTCCAAATCTGGCAAAAACATCACGGGGTCCCGGTGGGACCTAATAAACGGCAAAACACGTTTTATCAGGCATTCGCTGATGTATAACTGTCCGTTCATATTATTGGTTGTGATGATAATCGGAGTCTTCTGGCCACAGCTACAGATTCCCTGCCGGCAAACTTATCCGCGAAAACAAATTTATGTTTCTTGTGAACATCTCCGCGACCCCATACATCATTCATCGTCCATAAGGATGCATCCGTTGGATTTCGTCAGCACCTAGTCATACAGATTTCGGGCCCGCGACCGTAATGTTTTGCGTTGTGGTTCGGTTCGGTTGCTTAATAGACCGATAATTTAAAAAACCTTCCGAAATGCGTATATTCCGAACTTTACTGTGAACAGCGCCGAGTTTGTCGGCCAAATCCACATCTGAAAGTCATGAAAAAATCTCTTCTTTTACGTTCCATCGCGTGGCAATTCAAGATTTTTTTTAATATTGTCGCAGGATTTTAACAAAAAGACATTTTAAACAAATTTCTGTCAAAAGATTCCAGAACCGACGACTTGGAGCGCTGTACCGGACAAAAAAGCGTAGCGATTCTAAATTGACAGAGCTTTAAGCTTATCATCTTTTAAAAAATTAACTAATTCATTTGTCGTAAAAAAAAACGATCTTCACCAAAGTTGTAGCAAAACTTCCTGCAATAATAGCTATTGACTTATCTTTCAAAGCAATATTTTTTCGGTGCAGTTGAAAACCGGAATAACACACAAGCGACAATCGATTTTATACTCGTTCCGTACGAACGTCAGAAGTACATATAGAGCTCTAATTCCGATACTATGTTCTGATGGGCGGGATGGATAAAGGGTCTCCACGATGAAATTGCCACACACAAAATTGATTCGCAAAATTCGAGTTTTCATCCGATTGCCATCAAATTTTCAGGGATTGAGAAATAACTATTAAACTTCATTTTACCATTTTACTCGTATTTTATTTACAGTGCATACGCAAATGCCCGCACCTTGGCCTTAACCCTTAAGATTCTGCACAACCTGTGAATCAACCGTTTTTTGCATGTAAACCCATACTTTCTTCAGTTCCTCGGCTGTCTTCACTACCTTAGGTCGTTTAAGAAGGTGCTGCTTCATAATCGCCCAGTACTTCTCGATGGGGCGGAGCTCCGGAGTGTTGGGAGGGTTGAACATTTTCGGCACGAAATTGACCTTATTGTCCGCATACCACTTCAGCACGTCCTTGGAGTAGTGGCATGAGGCCAAATCCGGCCAGAAGATTGTTGGGACGTTGTGGGCCTTCAGGAGAGGAAGCAGCCGCTTCTGGAGGCACTCTTTTATGTACACCTGTCCGTTCATCGTGTCCTGGGTCACGAAAGGTGCACTCCGCTTCCCGCACGTGCAGATGGCTTGCCAAACCAGGAATTTCTTCGCAAATTTGGACATCTTCTGAGTGCGGACATGCTCCGGAACGCTGAACTTATCCTTGGCCGTGAAAAACAGGTTGCCGGGGATCTGTTTGAAGTCGGCCTTCACATATGTTTCGTCGTCCATGATGCAGCATTCAACTTTCGTCAGCATGTTGAGGTACAACTTCCTGGCACGGGTTTTGGTGGACTTGTTCTGCTTCTCGTCGCGATTAGGGGCCTTTTGTACCTTGAACGTTCGAAGCCCAGCCTTAGTTTTGGCCTTCTTAGCCACATCCCTAACGGAGGTGTTCGGATTTCGGTTGAAGGCCCCAACTACGCGGTTGTGATTTTTGGTGTTGTACGTAATACTTTTTCCTTCACTTCTGGGCTTCCGATCGGTGGTCAACCGTTCCTCGAACCGCTTAATCACTCGCGACATCGTGGAATTCGCGATTCCCAACGTTTTAGCGATGGAACGATGCGAGAGATCCTTGTTCTCGTGATGAATGCGCAAGATTTTATCACGCACGAGCTGTTTTTTCGACTCCATATCCGCGAGTTTTGATCACAGGACTTTAAAACTTGCAGGATGTAAATAATGCACTATGAACTAAATCCACCCAAATTTTCATTAAATTCTACCCAACGGTTAAAAAGTTAGAGCAATTTCATAGTGTGGCAATTTCATCGTGGACGCCCTTTAGAACCATAGACCAGGGTTACGTAGCGGACACAATCCTGACGGAACAAGCGGAGGCCGTAAGACTTTCGGATGTGTGAAAATAATGGTGAACCGAACGAGTTGTTATATTTGCGAGGGTTAACTTGGGAATTAGAAAAAAAAGTTTACAATTAAAACTCCCTCCCCCTTCCTGTAAGGGGGGGCTCCCATACAAATGAAATAGAAACTCGAGAACTAATCAAGCAAATGGAACCAAATTTGGCATGAAGATATAAGGAGATGATCATAGGGGGTAGCCCCTTAGATAAGGGGGGGGGGGGCTACGTTCAATATAACATGCTTTTTTTAATCGGCGAATTAGCTCAAGCTAATATAGAATCCCGAGCAAGGCCGGGCACACACAGCTAGTACTATTTAAAAATAATTCAAATCAGTGGAAAGAGTTGAAAACATCCATGAAGCATTGATGCCTACATTTACTATCAAAATGTGCGTGGATTACCGTTCTTTTCGGCCGCTAGCGAAAGTGATTATGATGCCATTGTGCTAACTGAGACGTGGCTTGATGGGTGTGAGTAATGGTGCTAACAGTGTCGAGTCTGAAATTCATTTAATTTTGCTATTTGGCCTGAAAAAGCTCCTAGACATCTTGAAAATCAACAATCAACTTTGTCCGCTCGTTCCCCTCCCAAACACCTCTCCACCCCATAAAACACCCACGAAATGATACTCACATCAGCAATGTTTTGCAGCAGCGGTGCCGCGATGAACACAACGTACGGTGTGAATTCGGCTGTGCGCAGTATTTTTAAGGCCTGTGGTTCGACGTCCAGGATTGCCATCTTGCCGTCGGCGTGGATGCGTCGTATCGTTTCCAGCTTGGTGCCGTACATGGCGTCCTCGTGGTGTAGTGGTAAGCGTGACTGCTTTCTAACACCCCAATGGGTCTGGGTTCAATCCCAGCCGAGGTCGGTGGGATTTTTCTGAGGCATAAAAATCTCTGGTCACGTCTTCCTTCGGAAGGGAAGTAAAGCCGTTGGTCCCGGCCCATGTGTGTGTTGAATGGGTGCGATATCCTACGCAGGTGTGGAAGCTGCCTTCCTGCACATTCGATTGCCGTCAATGGATGGAAATCGATGTCCGTCGGTGATTGGCACTAGATTGCGGAACAGAGACCGACGTTAAATAAAGGAAAGAAGTATAAGTGTAAAAGCTGATGTGGAGGTGTGCACCAGTTATATTAATACAACACCCATTTGTGATGCTTTGGAGCAACTGTGGGTTCGAATCACAACAGACAGTCGTAGTGTTACCGTGGGCGTAATATATTTACCACCGGACGGATCGTCGCAACAATATCAATATCATTCAGGATCATGTGAACTCCATCGGTGCTATTGTTTCCAATTTGGGATTCAATGACTATGCTCTGCAGTTTAGAAATTACAATCAAGTTTCGCTTCAGTGGAAGATTTCGGACGGATCTTGACGTATTGAGCCTCAGACGGTCTTATCGACTGCAAACTCAACGCTTATTGATGACTTGCGCAGATCAATAGTATATCGAACATGAACAATCGGTTTCTCAACCATGTTCTGGCTAACGATGCAGTAACTCCAGCAACTACCGTTTCGGAAGCCGTTGAACCTTTGATCTCACTAGATGCAGACCGCAGGGTGGTGAATGTTCCAACCCCGATTGTTTTTGAGAAACCTTACGAAAATTTCCGTCCATTGGATTCCCGACGAGCTCACTATGCTTATATTAGTGTAGCTATCTCCCGTGTTCAAAACCATCCTTGCAATGCCTATACAATACAATGCAATATATTCATATATCGTCGATGTGTATTACGTACGCAGTCATCTTTTCATAGAAATCCAAAGTATTTTGGTCATTCGTAAGCTCATTTGCCATTATCAGTTCAACTCGGTGAGCAAACAGCTTGTTTTGAACCTGAGAAATGCCGCCTATTCGCTCAACATCTCATGAGCTCCTTCAAAGAAACCTCAGCTTCACCATGTCAAGTTACGATTGCTACAAATCACAATCCAAAACCTGCATTCGATTTCCGTCTGTGTCATGTTAAAATTGGATTTGTGAATTTCACTACAAGTTGAACATTTAAATTTCTTAATATCTTCCTTCACAGGACAAGCGTCTTTTGCGTGAGAGGAATCACCACAATTCATGCATTTAGCTGGGATGTAGCAGTTTTTTGTTCCGTGACCCCATCTCTGGCACTTATACCACTGGGTGAGGTTTTGGAAATCTTCTCCTGTCGTCCTGAAGTGTTCCCATTTCACTCGGACATGGAGTATAACCGCGAATCGCCAGGACGGGATCTCATTTTCATTTTGATTACTTGGACTGGATCAACTGCAAGTAATTTTGTCAATTCATCTATGATCTGATTCAGGGATTCATCACTGGGCAGACCTTTCAAGGCAACTTTGAACATTTGGAAAAAAAATGGGTTGCTTCTTAGTAAAATACTGAAGAAAACGTTTGAATCCGTCCAAGGTTATATACACGGCATTCACCCCGACGGCCAAACTGAAGTGAACACTTGAATTTAACGAAGTTCAAAAGATCCGTACAAAGAGCGCGTAAATCAGTTGTGGTTCCCGCAATAGAGGGAACCTTCTCCTTCTTGGCATTAAGCCAGCAAAGTTTATTAGAATTTTGCTTGAATGATGGATCAATCCTATCAAATTGATTGCTCACATTAATTTCATTTGGCGGTAGAAAAACGTTTCTCCAAATCAACTTCCAAGCAGATTACTATAAGAATCCGAAGGATCGAAGAGGAATTTTCCAATTCGATGTGATGTTTATATGAGCTGCATCCACATTTCCTGTGTGGTTCCCCATTGTGATTCCGATTCATGTTGGTTCCCCTTCAGAAGGGAAACGTCTACAATTGGGATTACTGTATGAGGTTGATCATATGTCTACGGTTTGAGTTGTTATTTGTCTTTATTGTGGACTTCTATGGATGCTTGGATGTTTGTGAGCCATCAGATCCCTGGCTCTGGGAATGGATAACATAAATCTAGCACGTCCAAGTTGTTGCACTTTTCTAAAATGTCAAAGAATTTAATAAATTTCATTTAGAGAAATTTATACTTCTCAATGAATTGTATGAACAAATGGATAGGAACACCTACTATAAAACAATTTGAATTTTCTATTTTAATTTGAAAAGATAGACAAGTGTTGCCTACTGTAGATCCGCTAATGGTTGCCACGAATAGATCATGTCTAGGTCAAACACGTTTTGAACATGCTTTATTCCCAATATTTTATATTATTAGGAATAAAACAAAACTGACCGTTTTCAAAAGTGGTAGCCCTTGTACAAAAGTATGTTTAATTTCCTGATCCTAAGCCACTGGACTGGAGCAGGAATTGAATCAAGTTCGCCATTGATAGTCAGCAACGCCAAATGCTTCTGACAATAGAGCCCACTTAATTATTTCTCAGGTATCGTATCTGCATGCATATATACGGACTGATTGGTGATTAGGGCGTACATGCTTTTGTAAACAAACACGTCAATCGCCGATATTTTCCGTATAAAAGCTCAATCGTGGAAAGTAACAACACAATCCGATAGAGGAATGATTCCTCTACCATTTGGTATAATTTGTTTGCGAAATTGAGCATTAATCGGTGAGATCTATTTTATTACAAAATCAAGTGTGCCCTAATCAAAAATCAGTCCGGATGTAGCAATACGAATCGATCGTACGTGTTTCATTTGCAATAGCGTGCAAAGCAGTTTGTTGTAGTCAAAGCTGCAAATGGGTGTGACTTTCACTGTTTACAAACAGACCGCTTGGAATGATGAATTTTACCCACTAAAGCTAAAACAAGTAGGTTTAAAAGCGGTTTCAGTTCAACTTGCAGCTATTTTCTCCTGAAGGTCAACAGGCTTGCGTGACATGAATACTTGTTTGATTAAATTTGCATAAAATCATAGAAATTAATTTAACCGGCTTTCGGCTTTGCATTTGCCTGTCGGTGCAGTTTATTGTTCACAATACTCGATATTGCAAAAAGAATTTGGTGCCTATTGAAGCTTATTTATAGGTAATTGAAATGCATGGCGTGCCAGTACTATTCCAGTCAGACGTCTTTCCTCTTCCTGTTTCTATATTCATGTTGAAGCATTTACTGGATCGACAAATACTAGCTCATGCTTCATGAACGATCTTTGTTTCAATCAAACTAAGAACAAATTCAATATGAAAAGAATGAGTGGGTGTATGGTTTTGCATAGCAATCTATTCATTTTATATTTTAATTTCGTGCCTCTTAAAATGTGCGCCATACCATTTCCTGTAAGTCATGCAAATCACGAATCGTGATCAGTGGCTACAAGAGTAAAGGCTTCTGGTCAGAGGTATCTCCCTTGCCCCTGCGTCCCATGGAACACCATTCCCACTATATAGATAGTCTTGTTAAAGTTGAAGACGATCGCTTTGTCGTTCCATTGCTATAGCGAGTTTTACTTTCGTATATTTGTATGAATCACATTAAAACCAATCACGTTTGCAGCAAAGAGTGAAGACGTGACATTATTTCAAACGAGGACATGTACAACTAGCCACTGAAAAAATTTTCAACCAAACAATCTCATGAAGTTTGAATATGTTGAGCTGAGATCGGGTAAATTGTTTCGTTAGTGTTACTTTTGTGAAAGTTAAGTGTAGTTCATATTTAGATTCCTCGTATAATTTTCTCATAAAAACACTATACAATGTAAATTATAGCTTTATATGTTCCGAAGGTATTGATAAAAGAAAGAAGTGCTTTCTTGAAAATCACGAAATATAGAAAATGCTCCCTTGAACGAGGGGTGCTTCGATCGGCACAAAAAGTAGGATTCATAAAATTTAGACCACAACAAACATCTCCTCCAAATTTGGTCCAAATCGGATAAGGACAATTTCACGTGCCTCGGGCGCAAAATGACCCATATTGATATATCAAATATGCTCACGGATGATGAGAATAATCTATCAAAATTCAAATAAACTTTCCCGGGTTAATTCCAAGAAGAAAAGGTCCGTTTTATTGTGATAACCACTTCCGTTTTCCATGCTCTTCGCACGGGACTTTCGAGCTTCGTTAAATTCAAGTTTTCACCTCAGATAGGTGGTCGGGGAGAATGCCGTGTATTGGCTGGAACCTTGGACGTATTAAAATGGCGTCCAAGTATCTTACCATAGAGGTAACTCTAAGACCAGAAGGTCCCGAAGAAACGTGGAAAACTTTTTGGTTCAGCTCTGGTACTATCTTCGGTCCCAAGCTAATCGATGAACCCCTCGAAAGATCGGAAAATCCACGAACCCCTCATTTTATCTGTCAAACTTTCAGGCTAGTCAAGTAGTGAGCCAATTTGAAATCGTTAGTTTCCACTGGTTGATCTTACTGAAAAGCAACAACATTTTTTTCACTTACGACACCAAAACTGAATTGTCTTGAAAAGTATGCCCCGTGGTGAATTCCTGCTTCAGATCAAAGATACATTGACAAAATTATTTGGAGTTGAGTAATCAAAATGAAGATTAAATCTCTTCCTGGCAGTTAAATGCATAAATTGTGATGATTCCTCCCGTGCAAAGGGTGGCTGTCCTGTGAAGGAAGATCCTAAGAAATTTAAATGTTGAGATTGTGGTGAAAACCATAAACACAATTTCTGGAAATGAAAGACTTGCAATCTCATTCTAAGTGACAGGTAGGAAACGCTCCACGTTCCTGCCTAATTCCTCTGCTGTTACCAACAGTCAGCGATGAAAAAATTCTACATTCGTACCCGTAGGTACAAACAGATCCCGTGC